ACCTGTTCATGGATAGCCAGAATCAATATAGTCAAAATGGTCATTCTCCCAAAACTAATACACAGATTTGATGAAATCCCAATCAAAATACCAACAATATTCTTCACAGAAATAGAAAAAACAATTTTAAAATTCATATAGAACCAGAAGGGACCCAGAATAGCACAAAGAGTACTGGGAACAGGAACAAAGCAGGAAACATTATAATCCTAGATTGCAAGTTATATTACAAAGCTATAGTGATAAAAACAACATGGTACTGGCAAAAAACCAGACATGTGGACCAGTGGAATAGACTAGGGGATGCTGGTAAGGCTTCTAGGTATCTTCCTGAAAAAGTTAAAGATATAGTGACACATATACCTGTATTTATAGCAGCAGAATTCATAACAGCTAAATTGTGGATGTGACTTACGTGTCCATCAGTGGATGAATGGATAAGGAATATGTGGTATTTATACACAGCGAAGCACTACTCTGCCATAAAGATGGATAAGCTTGAGTCATTTGTAGGAAAATGGATGTACCTTGACACAATAATTTTAAGTGAAATAAATCAGACACACGAGCTTAAGTATCACATGGTTTTTCTTATACGAGAAACCCACAATGTAAATAAAAAGCAAAATAAAATATAAACAATAGGAAACAGGGAGATAGGTCTTTGCAAAAAACGATGAGATCAAGAAACAGAGCCACACAAATCACTTGTAGCTAATATAAGCAGATAGGAGTTTATTAACAAATTCTGGGCAGCTCAAAGTGATGCCTCAAATCCTACCACCCAGCTGGCCCATGGAGTCTCTTCTGATGCTGCAGGTGGGCATGACAGTGCTGTTGCCCTGTTGGTGCCGGACACTTCCAGAATGAGTGCTGCCTGTGGTTCTGGCAAGAGCTGCCTCCGCCAATACCACCACTTCAGGACACACTCCCCTCCTGCTGCTGCTCCTTGCTCTCACCAGCCTTAAGTTCCCAGTCAGGGCTGGTGAGTCTGAGGCTGCGCATGTTAGGCACATATTCAGGCTGCAAGGAAGGCTACAAAAGCAAGTATTTGGCCAGGCGTGGTGGCACATGCCTGTAATCCCCCCAGCACTCAGGAGGCTGAGGCAGGAGGACCATTGCGAGTTCAAGACCAGCCTGGGCTACAAAGTGAGCCCAAGGCCAGCCTGAACTGCATAGCGAGACCCTGTCTCAAAAAGACAAAGACAAAAAAAAAAAGCACATATTTGGCATGGTCAGTTCTTAGCAGGGGAGGTAGGCTCTGCCTCCTAAGGGAGGCCCCAAACATAGGAAGAGAGCAAGTCTAATGCCATGGAACCAAAAATGTCTCCCATACTAGTTTCTAATATCACACTATCCAAAGTAAAGTAATCAAACAACACAAAGAAGGAAGTGATGAACTTAAAAGTCTCCCTTCCTGAGCCTTCTTGGGCCCACTTGCCAGAAGGACTAACAGTGAGCTGTATTCTGCAAGTATGCAGAGGCGTCTTCTTTATATCTGGCTATAAATAAGTACAGCCATCCCTCAGTATCCACAGGGGATGGGCTCCAGAACCCTCAGCAGATACCAAAGTCAGCGGATCCACAAGCCCCTCAATCAAATGGTATTTGCATCAAATGCACCCACATCCTCCTGTGTACTTTAAATCACCTTTAGGTACTTTTTTTTTTTTCCAGTACCGGGAATCAAACTGACGACCTTGTGCTTGCCAGGCAGGCGCAGTGCCGATGAGCTAAATCCCCAGCCCCACCTCTAGGTACTTAAAATATAATACAAATGCTACGTCAATAGTAGTTATACTGTATTGCTTAGAAAATGACAGGAAAAAAGTCCCTACATGTTCAGGACAGATCCAATTTTTTCCAAGTATTTTTGATCCATGGTTGGTTGAATACAAGGGGTGAACTGTATGCATATATTTGTATACAAGGTGCCTGTGTATAATGTATAATAAGTGATATGTATGTGTATACATCAGCATATACTTATATAAATATATTTTGATACCAAAATTTATATATTTATATGCATTTCATATCTTATCTATAAGTATATATGTAATTTTTTCTGTGTCAAAATTGGCCCATTCAACACATTTCCATCTAACATGCTGCTTCTCTCTACACCCCCATATCTTGACCTATTCCCATGCCAGGGCACAGCGGCCCGCTCATCCTTCCTGACCCCAGCACAGCATGTCACTGGGTGGGTGTGCTCTACCTAACTAGCCAGTCCTCTGCAAATGGACATTTGGATTCTTTGCAATTTTTGTGCACCAATAAACCCTACTGCCAGGAACATCCCTGCACAAATGTCTGTGTAGAGATTCATGGAATAAATTCCTGGAAGGGGATATTTGGCTCAAAAGGAGCATGCACTTGTGCTATCGGTAAACAGTGCCAAACTGCCTTCCAAAAACTCTGCACCAATTTTCAGCGCAGTCTTATCAGCGGCATGTGAGCATCCTCCCGCCCTCCCCCCTCCCTGCCCTGCGCAGTCTGGCTGCTGGATCCCCTTCCCTCTTCGCCTATCACTTGCACAGCCTGCATTTCTGGCCACAGTGCCTTTACCCGTGCTACCTCCACAGCCTAAACTCTCCTTTCCATTTGTCTGTCAGATAAAAACTCATCTGTCCTATAAGGTCCTGGCCGTGACAATACTTCTTCACTGCATCCCGCATTCCCTGAGCTCTCAGGGTTCCTTTCCTCTAAGACACCACACACACACACACACACACACACACACACACACACACACAGTGGAATCTCCAGAGCAGAGACCTTGTTTTCTTTTTCCACCATCTGTACCCCTTGAACCCGAGCCACCTAGAAGCGCTCAATAGTCACGCGTCCAGTCAGCCATCCGTTTTAGAGAAGGGGAACCGCTTTGGGAAACGACAGCCGGGCAACCTGAGGTTTCATAGTCAGTGACGACGGCAGCTAGGATTTCAGCCCGTCTGAACTCCAATCCCGACCGCTTTATTTCTTCCCCACTCCCAGCACGTCGCATCATCGCTCTCCCCTATCCCCAAAAGACTACGAGCCTCGCAGCGGCGTATCGGAGGCCCGCCCCTGGAGGCTCGTCTGCTCCGGGGAGATGTCACCCTCCCCGCCCCCTGTCAGTCAGGCGGAGGGGGCGGTGCGGCCGCCAGAGGGGGCGCTGAGCTCAGAGCTGCCGCAGCGCCGGAGCTGGAGCCGAAGCCCGAGCGCGCGAGCGAGCTGGGTGCTAGGAGTACTCCTGGTGGCAACGCAGCCAAGGCCCGGGCACTACTGCGCCCCTGCTCAGGACCCGTGACCCGAGCGCCTGGCCGCGGCTGGATACCCCGCTGGCCAGGAGCTCGCCCCCGCCGGCCCTAGCCGAGCCCCCTGGTCTGCTCGCTGCAGCTGCTGCAGCCACCACTACATTCCCAGCCCGGGCCCCGCATCCAGGTTAGGCGGCCGCGCGCCGGGGATGGGGAATGGGCTGGGGACCCGGAGGGACTGGGGCAGGGTGAGGCAGGGGCTGGAGAAGGCACCGGGGCTGGAAGGGGATGGAAAATGGAGCGGGGCTGCAGTGAGAGGGTGGTGCGCATCAGTGTGCACCCCCGGGTACGTGTGTCTGTTTCTCTGGGTTTGTAACTGCCTGAGTGGCCGTGTGGACGTGCGTGCGAGCTCGTGTGTGTCGGGGGTCCGTGCGCGTCTGAGCGTCTGCATGTCCTGTATGTGCACGTGAGCGTGTCCGTGGTGTATGTTTGTGTGCATGACCGTGTGACTGTCGTGTGTGTGCTGGCGGACCGCGGGTCTTCGCGCCGAGCCCAGCATCCCGGTTCTACGGGGCTGCAGGTTGCAGGGCTCCGGATAACAGAGGCCGTGGCCCCTCCCGCGTCCTGGGTTTCAAGGACGCTGGGACTCGCCGCAGCCCTCAGGCCTCGCACTGGGGAGTCCGAGGAGGAGGAAGGGGCTCTGGGCCCAGAAGGGGCGCCAAGACCCGGCGGTGCGGGGGTGCGCCGCGTCCCTCGGGAAGGGCTGGGTGGGGGTGCGGAGCCAGAGCTCCGGTGCCGTGTCTTCGCCCTTCCCAGGCCGCCAGGATGGACGTGTTCATGAAGGGCCTGTCCATGGCCAAGGAGGGCGTTGTGGCTGCCGCTGAGAAAACCAAGCAGGGGGTCACCGAAGCCGCGGAGAAGACCAAGGAGGGCGTCCTCTACGTCGGTGGGCTAGGGCGGGGCTTATGGGGCGGCGGGACTCGGGTATCCTCTGAGGGTTTGGGGACGGGGTCCTCAGAGAGAGTAAGTGACCCTGGCAGGAGAATATGAGTCAGCAGACGGGGCGGGGTCAGCAGGGGTCACTGAGGACATAGCCCAGGGAAGCCGGGGTTGGTTAAGGGTTGAAGGCGGGATTCTGCTGAAAGACCAGGGACGACTGCAGTGATCAAAGCGGAGAGCCTCCTTTTTACAAATTTCTATTACCATTATTAATAGTTACCTGGTTTTGAACCCATGCTCTAGACCAAGTGCTGTATAAATTATGATTAGATCCATTACTTCATTCAATGCTCCCAGCCCATTCCACAGATCAGGGACACTGGGGCTCCCAGGGGCTTACCTACCTTGCTCAAGGTCACACAGCTGATTAAACCGGAAGCTAGGGTCTGAACCCCGCTTTTGAGACTCTGAAGCCCCACCCTGTGTGGGCCGTCCCTCCCCTATTAGTCCTGGCTCCTCCAGCCATCACCAGGGCTGGGTTGCTTACCAGGTCCCTCTGCCCCCAGCGCCTGTGGCTCCACTGTCACCAGTTCTCTTGTCCACCCTTCTGGAAGCTGCCAGCTGGTGTCACGAGAAAGGCCAGGTGGTTAAAATCTCTCTTCCTAAGCGCGAAAGGAGCTCATAGGGTCATTTACATAAAGAGAGAATGGGCTGGAATTTACACTTACTGTTTTCTGGAGCCCGTATGGTGACTGGAGGCTTGCTTGTGTGCAGCAGGTACAAGTGTTCCTTATACAGGCTTAATGGGGCTAGTAAGCTGCCCAAAGATCGCAGTAGATTTGAACTGTGCAAATTCGAACATTCTGTGCCCACTTACTATGCACCAAGCATCGTGCGTTCCTGGGGATGTACCAGTGAACAGCAGGTGACGAGGTGCCTCATCTCCTCGTGACATAGAGCATTTTCATGGTAGAGCTTGGGATAGGATAGAAAGAGGTGACATTTGAGCTTGAATAATAGGGGTCAGCTGAGGGATGGGTTGGGCAGAAAAGGTAGGTATGAGGGCTTTTGAATGCACAGAAAGCAGAGGGCACAGAGCAATGGCAGGAAATGAGCTCAGGTGGGGAGGCAAGAGCCAGGTCCTTGTAAGGCCAGAGCAAAACATTCCTGTAATTGCAGTGGGAGACTGTAAGCAACAGACTACATGATCTGACTTCAGTTTAGAGAGGTCTCTCAGGCCTTTAGGGACACAGCAAATTGCAGGGAGTCCCATTAGGAAATAGTGTAGCCACCAGAAGAGAGGGTGGCCTGGGTGAGGGCAGTGGTGATAGAAACAAGGAAAAGCCTTGAGCCCACATCTGCCCGACCCCAGCCCTGGCCTCCCTCCTGCCTCCTTGCCAGCCCTATCGCTCCACTCCTGTAACCCCTGGCATTCCTGTCACTGTCTCTTCTAACAGACGGCACCCCTGCAAGCCACACTGCCCTCCTCTTCAGATTGGCACCCCCTGTTCCTCCCCTGCCCAGGATCCCCCAAAAAAGCACCCCCAGTCCCTGCACATTAAAGCCTCAGCACCCTGTAGCCTAGCATTTGTGCCCTTCGTGACCCTGTCTCGGTCTACATTCCAGTTTCATTTCTTAACATGCCCATTTTTCCTGGCACGTGGGCCCAGTCGCACTTCTGTGCCTTGCTGCATGGTTCTCTGAACCCGAGTCACCCTCCTTCCAGAATACTTGCCTACTCCCCATTTCTCCAAGCCCAGGCAATATCCATTTTGCCCTCATGAAGCCCTTGGGGGCTACTGCTTGAGGTCCCCATTACTTGAGGTCCAGAAACTGAACCTGCTCCCCTCTTACCCCATTCAGTGAGTGACTAGCCCAGGTCCTGACACAGAGCAAACAAACATTTGCAGGAGGAGTGAATGAGGGCCATGCAACCTGCCCACTCTTTTCTCTGGGTTCTGGATGGCCTTTGCCATCAGCATCTTCTGTCCACATTGGCCTCACCTTCTGCTCTGTCCATAGGTCTCACCTCCCCGAGGCCCCTTCTGAGCTCAACATCAGTTGTCCAGGTTGCTAAATCCTCAACTGAGAGACTCCCCATTCCCTGGGGACTCCCCACCCCAGCTCAGGGCTTCTTGCCTTTCCTAGCAGCCTTCCCATATTGCTGTGACCAAGGCGCTCCCTGCCCGGGAAGGCCCAGCCAATGGAAGGGGTGCCCAACACAATCTTCACATCACCTTTAGACCCACCTGAACCTAAGACTCCACTTTAAACACAATGAAGGGTCTGACCCTTGTTAAGAGAGAATGTAGAATAAATGGAGTAGTGGGACATGGACAGTCACACGTAGGGGCACTGGGAGCACCTTTCAAAATACATAGCTTTGTTCCCCCAGCTCCACTTGGCTCCCAACCTAGGTCATGCACTCCTACAGTACTTGGCAGCAGGGATTTTCACAAACACCTGAATTTGAATGCCCATTTGGACACTTACTGGTTTCAGGGCTTTCCAAGCTTCTGTTTCCCACTCAGCTACCCACCTTGCAGGCTGGGGAGAGGAGTGCATGAAATGGTGTGGGTCACTGCTTTGCAGCCACTGAGGGGAGGTACAGGTGTCAGGCCAACAGGGAGAACTAGGAAGCCTAAGAAAGGAGGCGTGGGGCCCAGTATGATTAATATGGGGGAAGGACTTGTAAGACATGGGTACCAGCAAGGTGGGAATGGGCCCAGGGTACCCACTGTTACCTGTGCATCCTTCTGCCCAGGCTATAACCCCTGTGCCGTGCTGGCATCTCTGTTCCCTTAGCTCAGACTCCTTACATGTGCTCTTTGTTTTTCTTCCTACAGGAAGCAAGACCCGAGAGGGGGTGGTACAAGGTGTGGCCTCAGGTACCAGCCCAGCCCTGGCACAGTCCCCTTCCCTATCATCAGGCCCGGAGAGCGGGAGGGCTCCCAAGGCTTCTGCGGGGGTACCCTGGGGAGAACAGGCCATGAGACGTTATATAGGGGAATCTGTGCCTCCTTAACCCTGCCCCTCAACCCCTTCTCCACATTCCTTGATGCTCCAGTGGCTGAGAAAACCAAGGAGCAGGCGTCACATCTGGGAGGAGCTGTGTTCTCTGGGGCTGGGAACATAGCGGCAGCCACAGGCCTGGTAAAGAAGGAGGAGTTTCCCACGGACCTGAAGGTGAGTGACTGTCTGCCACACGTATGTTCCCTCTCACACACACACACCAGGCACACAAATAAACAGTATTCTCCCCTGCACCCTTGGCCAGCCTGGGGCACAGACATCCTTGTCTTCCATTCTACAGGGCTCAGAATGAGGCCATCTGTGCACTCGGATTGTGTGTGCAGATGCGCTGCTCCCTGTGACGGGGACCCAGAACTGGCTGTGTGCATGATCCCACTTGCCAGTGTGACCCGGCTCACTTCTGGCCACATCTGCAGGTGTCATTCATTTTATTAAATGAATGTCAGTGTCAGCAAGGAGTTGTCCTAGAGGCTCCTGCAGTCAGTAGGATTCTCTGTTTACGCAGCTGATGTAGTGGGGAGAGATGGTAAAAAGCAAGCCAATAAACCAGGTGACTTCCAACTGGGATAGGTGCTGGGAAGAAAAGACAACAAAGATAGTAGGATAAAGTCAAAGGGGGAGAGAGCTACTTGAGCCAGAAGGTCTTCACTGAGAACGTGATTTCTGAGCCAACACCCAGGGGATGAGATAGATGTGCAAGAAGTGTACTTCAGACAGTTAACAATGGCAAATACAAAGGCCCGAAGGCAGGTGTGAGCAGGTATATGGTGGGAGGGGTCTGCTCATCACATATTTGTTTCTCCAGTGGAGTGATAGTGGCTACACATGTAAGCATGAGGACAGAGGACTCCATCAGAACATCCCGTAGGGAAAGAGCTGTGAGCTCTTGAGCCCCATGGAGCAACTGTACTATTCACTGGCTGTGTGGCCATGGACAGCTACCCCTAGCCTGATTATCTGCCAGTAACATGGAAGATGAACACAATAGTCCTTAGGCAGGTTAGAGATAATACAGACGAGAAATTCTCAAAATTTAAACATGTATCAGCATCACCAGGAGGCTGTGTGAAAATATAGGTCAACCCCATCCCTAGAACTTCTGGTTCAGTAGGTCTGAGGGGGGCCCAAGAATTTCTGTTTCTAACAAGTATGCAGGTGATGCCAATGCCCCAATCCCAGGGGCAACACTTTTTGAACCACCGAGACACAGGCAGAGCCTGGCTTCCATACAGTGAGTGGTCCATTTGGCCACATGGTCATACAAGCAGGTTGTGTCTGCCCCCAGGGGATCGTGTGACAACAGGTAGGCATGGAGGTGTACCACAAGGACAGTGTGCCCTGTGCAACTATATGTACATCTAGACATTCCTCCTGTGAGTCCCTGTGTCTGTGCCCACACGTGGAAGTGGAGGCTCTTCAACATTTGGTTTGGATGATCAGGGTGCCATCTAGCTGAATGTATCTACCGGCTGGGGAGACCCCATTACCACCTTCCACGCCAGACATTTTGCAGTTGGTTCGTTCCATGTGTCAAAGCTTAGGTCTTCACTCAGTAGTTCTGGTCCCAGTGCTGTCTCCACATTTTACCATTTATATAATTTCTATTTCCTGTAATCATGTTACCAGTGATCATTCCCATCCATTGATCCCTAGACATTTTACTTGGAGTGACTCAGTGAATCTTCACAGTGTTGCTTTGAGAAAGGTACCATTACTGGCCCATTTTACAAATAGAGGAACTGAGGCTCAGAGGTGACGTGACTTACCAAAGACCTCCTGGCCTCCTTCTCTTGTAAGGTTGTTGGGATCATAAGCTTAGGTCCACATCACGGGAGTCACTTTGTGCCAACACAGGCCCAGGCCCTGTACTAGCTGCTGGGGTAGAGAGAGAGAGGCAGATCCGGGCCTGATATGCCATCCTGAGGGCCTTCGTGACAGGTCTTTGCACACAGTCATTTCTTTCTGGCCATTTTTCTCCTACCAGTGCTTGGAAACACCTCTTGGCTGCCCTCTCAAGGGACTCAAGGTTAGAGTTACAATCCAAACAGCAACACTTCAAGGCTCTCAGGGGTGCAGGAACCCAGGCAAGCTCACAGCCAGCATTTCTGATAATTTCCACCTTCCAGCTTGCTTTCAGCCCATTATCATGGAGTCCTCATCATAGTTCCTCAAAGCACACAGCCTTACCTCATCCTCCATCCCAGGCTGCTGTGATTTGAGGTGAAATGATGCCAGATAGCTAGCAAATGGCCAGGCTGGGATTAAGTGAATTTTTTGTTTGTTTTGGTGCTGGGGCTGGATCTCAGGGTCTCCTATTTACCTAGCATGTGCTCTACCACTGAACTATATACCTGACCCTTAAGTAACTTTTTATTGAAGTACAACGAACATGCAAAAAGCATGCAGCCCCATGAAATTTTCAGAAGGGGAACTCCCCTATGTCACCAACAGTCAGCTCAAAACATCAGCCCCCGCAACACATCCTTTGTTCTGCCTTCCTAGTCCCTGCCCCTAAAGCCAGGGCTAGGCAGAGACAAGGGAAGGGTGGCCAGCACCCACTCATGGGGCTACATCTTTAGGACCCTGGAAGTGAATGCTTCCCTAGCACATGAACCCTGTGCACCTCACTTACCTCACCTCAATCTTGGCCTTATATACCCCCACAAGAGTACCTGCTTCCTCACTTCTACCACCGCAAATTAGGTGTTTTTTTTTTAACTTCATGTAAATATCTTCATAAAGTACATCCTACTGTCGTTCCTTACTCTTGGGTGCTATTCCGCTGTGTGACTAGACCACAATGTACACGTTCATTCTGTATGCACATATAGCACGCAGGACAGGATTTATAACACTGTATTTCTTCCCTGAATTCTGGTCATAGCTGAGTGACTTGGGGCAAACACTTCCCCATTTCCTGTGCCTTGGTATACCCATCTCTGCAGTAGGAGGAATAAAGCGGGGCAGGAGCTGTAAACTCATGGGTCCACACGGACAGGGACGGTTTCATGTGTCCGTATGTGCAACCAGCTCAGTCCTGTTTTGTGCACATACATGTGCTCACCTCCAGGTGGCCAGCCATGGATTTGGCAGCCCCCCATGTGCATGCCTGCTGATCTGTGCCTAGCTGGGCAGCAGATGCAAGGGGGAGGGGAGAGTCTTAGCTCACACATCCAAGCAACACCAGGAGCTGTTGCTTCCAGCTTATCCTAAAATAGCAACAGTGAAGAAACCAGGCCATGCTGGGCCCTGGGGGAGGGATGAGTGGAGGGTGGCTGGGGAATGGCTCAGAGCCCCTGCCCATCCCTGTCCCTAAGCCTCCATCTCCCTCCGGCCCTGGAGGGGAGTCTCCATGGTTCTCTCTGGGGTCCTGCCATCCAGTGGAGCCAGACACAAAGGAGAGAGGGACAAATGGGTGACTGAGTGTGCTGTCTCTCCCCCTATTCCAATCCAGTCACAAATGATGGATGCGCAGAGGCTGCCAAGTGCTGGGGGAGAGGCACAGAGAGCCTTAGCACCCTGGCCCCCAACACTCCCAGCTTGGGGTGATGGTCAGGAAGGATTTCACTCTCATACCACCCCACTTCCAAGGTGCTCCAAATAAAAGGTTTCATTAAAAATTCTTGCACTGCTAACCCTTCCTTGCCTTCCCCCATGCTTCCAATCAGCCAGAGGCTTTACTCGCATAGATTTCCCGGGCTCTCCCTGCTGTCCTCACCAGCCTTGCCCTTCTCTGCCCACAGCCAGAGGAAGTGGCGCAGGAAGCTGCTGAGGAGCCACTAATTGAGCCCTTGATGGAGCCAGAAGGGGAAAGTTATGAGGAGCCACCCCAGGTGAGGGGGTAGCAGGGCCGGGTGGGTCTCTGGGCAGCCAGGAAGATTGCTGCCGATTCTGGCCCTGGTGGGTGGTCCCTTGCATGATAAGGTTGGGAACTGCACTTAGAACCAGGCGGCAGGAAGCGGAAGGATGGAGGGGAGAACAGATGGGCCTAAAAGAGCCCAGGGAATCCTGCTGTCCCTCACTCTAGGTCCCTCCAGGCCTAAGGGGAGGGGTGCGCAATCCCTCCGGAGGGATCCGGCGGCCAGGCTTGGCTGTTGGTCTCCAATTCCCCCTTTCCTTTTGCTCTTCTCTACCTCATCCTACCCCTCTGATGCAGGAGGAGTATCAGGAATATGAGCCAGAGGCCTAAGGGAGCGGGACGGCCCCCCACCAGCAGCACAATTCCTTCCCTGTCCCTGCCCCACCCCCCAGAGCCAGGGCTGTCCTTCTACCCTTTCCCCAGAACACGAGATCTTCCTTCTCCGAGGCGCCCCCTTGGAGCCTGTTGTGTCTGTCTATCTGTCTGTCCTACCCGCCCGCGTCCAACCCTGGGGCATGGACTGGGCCGGGGCTTCCACCGCGGCTAGGAGTCTCTGTGGCCCCCTGTGGTCCCACCCTGTCCAGTGTCTGTGCGGATGTAGCATGTTTTATGTATTTTTAAACGAAGATAGAAAAGTGATGGCTCCTCCAACACCCCCGACAGAGGTTCTCCGAGGGGGCTCCCGGGCAGCCCCCGAGCACTCCATCCCACACCCACATCGACCCCAAGAACATTTTTTTTTTTTAACCAAAACCAGGAGCCAGGCTGTGCCACGCCCTCTCCCCCAGCCGGCCCGGTCGGAGCGCGGGCATCGTGTGTTGTGATTGTGGCATGGAGAGCCCCCTCCCCCACCCCGTGTGAGCGTGTCCCGGGCGGGCGGGCCCGACCGCCCCCACCCGCGTGTGTCCATGAATAAAGCCAATCTGTCTGTAGCCAGCGCCACATGGACAGGGCTGAGCGCGTGTGGCGGAGGCAGGTGGGCTTCCGGGACCCGGAGTGGCCCTCTGCTCTTTGGGGTCTGCCACACTCTACCCAAGCACAGCACTGACTACCGGGACCTGGACTTCTCCATCTTCTACTCTTCGTCCCCGCCCAAGACCTGGAGGGGAGGAGGAGGGTCTCCCCGGGTTGGGACGCACCTTGACTGGGAGGCGGAAAGGTGGTTCGGGGGCGCCACCTGCTGGGCCGCAACGCGCTTATTGGGGTACAAGGCCAAGGGAAGCCCCGCGCCGCACAGGCAGGGGGCACGCGCGCGCACGTACGCAGGTCCTCAGGAGCGAACCCGCGTGTACGTACCCGGGCCAGTGCACACGTGCAGACGCGCGCGCTCTCAGTTCCACCTGCGGCTGGGAGAAGCCTTCAAAAACCAGCCGTGCTGACCCAGAAAGACGCCGTTACACGCAGACAGACCTCTTCCCGCGGCAGGACGTGTACACCTGCACACACCTACCCACACCTGCCCAACGCAGAAAAACTCAGCTTAGGGTAGGGGAAATGGGCCAGTTCCAGAAGAGGACAGAGAGCTGGCATGAGGTGTTCTCCTCCTCCTAGAGGGGCGCCTGAAAGTTTTGAGTTCTCGGCCGAAGTGGGTCTGTAGACCTCCCGGAAGGAGTCCAGGAGCTTGGAGCTGACCAGGATCGGTACTAGAGGGACAACAATACCGCCTCAGAGTGAGGAAGAAAAGGGCGCTATCCTGTGGGTTCTGCGCAGAGGCCCCACCCCGGCAGAGAGAAAACGCTGCCTTTATTGGCTCAGAGGCTTCCGCTCCAGGCCCCGCCCCTATTTGCGCAGCGCCCCTGCCCTCTTTAGCTGCAGAGGCTCCGCCCCTGCCTTGCAGGCGTCGGGCAGGGCTTTGCCGCAGAGGCCCCCAGCCTCGCCGCGAAGACCCGCCCTCTTTCACGCCTCAGCCAGGACTCAGTGGGGAGTCGAAGCCCAAGCTGAAGCTCTTCAGCCCCAAACATGGATGATGCTTGCTCTATTTACTCAACCCCCGAGCATCTGCGCCTCCTTCTCCCCGGGATCGTCGGAGGCGAGACGATTCCAAGCCTGGAAAGGCCTCGAGCACGGCAGGAGACCAACCAGTCTGCTCGGGTCACCTTGGCCTGCAGTGTGTGTGTGTGTGGGGGGGGTGTCTTTATTTCCGGAAGCAGGAAGCAGCTGGCAGATGAGCCCTGAGAGTGTGTGTGTGTCCGTGTGCATGTGCGTGTCAGTGTGTCTGTGTTTAGAGAGAACTGGTGAGTTTGGAGTCTCTGACTCGAGTGAGGGTTTGAGGAGCATGAAATCCCTTTGGGTTTGAATTAAATCACTATGTGCGACTCGCGATCTTTGGGGATGGCAAACTCACGACCCTCGGGCTGAATAGGCCTCTGGATACGTTCCATTTGCTACACCAGGTTTTAAATTTTTAAAATTTGAATACCTTTGGGCTGTGCATACCTTTTCCAGTTGGCCATGGACCCTTAGTCGCTTTCCCTTCTTACTGTATTATACCTATCCACTTCATTTTCATGAACTGCCTGCCCTCTAAAGAGTTTGTGACTGCCAATCCAACAACCGCACCCGCTCCTCATTTTTAGATGCCAAAACCAGGTTAACCACCTGGCCTGAGGGGAGATTTATGCCTCCTTCGCAGGTGCCAAGCCCTACACCTGGCCCCACTGAGCATGGTTCTGCTCAGAGAGCAATGTTCTCATCTGTCAGGGTCACTTTAAATGCATTCCAGACACAGGCCCAGAAGCGTCAGCGGAGGATGTCAGCCCTGTGTCAGACAGCAGTGCGTGTGTAAGCCCACACAGCTCATGGGCTCCTCCCACGTGACAGGCACACAGCCATTTCCCAAGTGACCAGTATATCCCAGGCATGTGGTACTTATCGCCATTTATTTCACTTGAAACCAACTTTAAATCTTGCTTGTTGTGAGCCCTATTTATAGATGAGGGTGTGGGGGTCCCAGAGGCAAAGCTCCCTGCCCTAGTCACATTGCTGGGAAGTGGTAAAGGCCATCCTGAGCCCCAAGACTGACTCCAAAGCCCAATGACCTTGGAATTTCCAAAATAGGCATTTTGTAGCTTTGAAGAGAGACAAACAAATGAAGCACACCCACAATAGGAAAATGTGAAGAAGCAGCAATGTGAAGATTACAAACACTTGTGCAATGTCATGGAGCCTAGGAGCAACATTGTGTGTGTGTGTGTGTGTACGTGCACAGGCACACACACATGCACATGCACATACCTGTGGTATAGGCATACATATGTGCTATGTCTATGCCTGTGTTCATGTGTGCACACAGATGCTGCCCATGTGTGCTGTGTGCATTCCCTTAGGATTCAACAGCGTGTTACACGTGGGCTCTGCTCTCAGAAGTGGGTGACTTCAGGGAAGGGTCCTCCAGGCAGACTCCCTGTCACCTCACCTCCCACTGATCATAAAATGATCAACAAGATGATTGCAAGTTCCATGAAGAACACAGAACAATGTGGCAGAGTCAGAGGGAGGGAGTCGGTGAAAAGCCACATTAAGGTGGCCATATCAAGTATCTGAGGAGAAGACATGGAACTAGAACCTGAATGGAAAGAGGGTAGTGTGGGGACATCTCCAGAAGACCAAGAGTTGCAGGTAGAGGAAATACACTCCTCTGGGTTTGAGTGCAAAAGTGTGTAGTCAGCGAGGCTGAGACTGGTCAGGGAGCCTTCCGAAGCCCACGTGCCCAGGTCCACTCCTACTGGCCCCTACTTCCTCTTCCTCTGCTTGTGTTCCTTCCTCCATCGGGACAAGTTGCCCTCAATTCAGCCCATTTAAATCTTTCCTTCTGCTACTACTCATTGGGCCAGAGCAATTTTTTCTCACCACCCTTGTGCTGTTCAGATGCACACAAAAACCCCCATTCCACCCATCCGCACTCAGAATCCTTGCTGGGTGGCTAACTGGAAAGTATCCCTCCCCTTGATGAGGACTGGGGGCTGTCCTCATGTCCCCCCCATTCATCTGTCTACCTACCCCCACTGCCCAGTAATGCAGCTTCCTGGCTTTCTCTGGAACTTTATTTTTGTTTTCTCTCTTCCCTATTTATAGCTCTCTCCCCTCCAAACCATCCCTGCATCTATCCCGTTGCCTAGAAACAAGCTCTGGGCTGAGGGTGGGGGAAGGCCAGACGGAGCCCAGGCAGGGGGAAAGGAAGAGATGTCACCCACTCCCCTCTCAGCACCACCCCCAGGCTTCCAGAAGCCCACTCTGCCCTCTGCCCATCCACCCATGGGTGTTTTTTAAAGAATAAAACAAAATGTGAAAAACAGCCCTTGGTGAAGCCTTTCCAGGCTTCTAAAGGGCATGTGAGTGTGATTTCACTCATACCTCTTAATAGACCCCCCCCCCGCCTGAGGCTTTTTTAGATGGGGAAACTGAGGCTTCGGGAAACAAAGGTCCCGTAACCAAAGCTTTCTCATCAGATGAGCTTTCTCATCTCTCCGTGCTCTGGATTTATTAGCCTTCATCTGAAACACCGAAAGATTTGAAAGCTTAAGTAATTCCACAACCTGTTAATTGCAGGGTGGTAGAGGAAAATGTATCTACAATTCTGCCACCTACCAAGCCACCAGTTATGCCTCAGCCATGCCCTCTTATGTGCCCCTGTAGTGCCCCTGCCATGGCCCAACCATGCTCCTGTAGTGCCCCCAGCATACCTTCCCCATGGCCACTATGCTATAGCCCCGCATGGTCCCCATCAGGCCCCCCAACTGTAAGTCCACAGATTGGAGTGGGAGGCTGAGCTTTCCTCCTAGTTCTGTCATTTCATGCTGTTGGTCCAATCATGCAAACTCTGAGCCTCAATTTGTCCGGCTCCAAGGCCAGGAGGTTAATTTCCACTCCTTAGGGCTAATAGAGAATTTAATAACTGTAGAGTGCTATACAATGTGAGTGATTAACTGGAATAGTTAATATTGTTATTGTTGATACTATTATTAGGGCCGAGAGGTAAGGGAAGGGAACCTAAATGGGCTCTGGGATCAGAGAGGGATCCCCTGGCCTGTGTCCGGACAGAACAAATATGGGTTGAGGCTGCCAGAGAAGCCCTACTGTGCCTATTTTTCCTTCTTAAGTGCTTATTCCCTTCTGTCCTCCCCCAGGCTCCCAAAGGCCCACCTCTGCCTTCCAAACAGGCTTTCTGGGCAAAATGGGGGAGGGGATGCTAAGGAGCAGCTGGGCCATGATTCAGCCTGAGTCACCCATCCAAATTCTGGGGCCGCCCCCAGTCGGGCCAGGGCCTGCAGCTGCTGGGAGTAAGGGAGTTGCAAAGAGGGAGGGTATCTTTGGGTATCAGGGTGTACTTGTACATGCCCAGGCCAGGGAGATTCATGATCTCAGGCCAGCACAGTGATGGTTGGGGGCCATGCAAGGTGGTTAGAGAGGGAAAGGTGAATCCATAAACATCAGTTAGTTATCTGCACTGACTGAGGTGGCAGGTGTGTGTGTGTGGTGTTACATGTATATCTGAGTAGGGCGATGGTATAGCTGGAGTGATTCCCAGCTTTGCCTCTTTCTGTTTCTTTGGCCCTGGCAAGTTACTACTTCTCTGAAGGTCAGCCAGTTTCTTCACCCATGCAATGGGAGTAATAACTGTATCATCGCTGATGGTTTTCCTTAAGGATAAAATAGAATGAAATGATGACCATAGAACACGTAGGAGCCAGTAAACGGCACACTGCCATCATCACCATCTCAGGGAACTTGGGTTATGTGCTGCATGCATGAGGACAGGAGCATATCTGAGTGTCTGTATAAGTCTTAAGGGGTGCCGGGTCTGAGCGTTTCTTGAAAGAGTGTGTGAATGTGTGTTGTGTGTATCCCCCTGATGTACAAGAACTTTATGCAAGAATTTTATAGAAAGTTGGATTTATATGATATTGCCAGTGTCAATACACATACATACAGAGCACACACCTTCCCTAGAGACTGTGATTTTTCTGAAATTCAGCCCTGACCAGGGCCAGTGTACAAGTGAAGGGGTCTAGAACTATGGATACAGTTGTATGGGGACCTTGGACCTCCTCAAAGCCTTCGGCTTCAGGCAAAGCTGGAATGGGAATAGCTGGCTAGGCGATGAGGGTGGGCCAAATTGTGTTTAATGGAATGGATGTGAACACAATATAGTCAAAGACAGGGTGGGCTAGCATGAGATACATTGTGTATGGGGGGGTCACAAGCATGCACAGGGTGGCTTTGGGGGCTGGTTGCTGTCTCTGCTCTGGTACAGTCTGCTTGTCTCCATGGTGCCTGTTGCCACACACGCTTGCTTTTCAGAAAGTCACTGGGATTGTTTATTCCACCCCCGGCCTGGGCGCCAGCCAAGGAGCAGCAGGCACTTGTTTATCTTCTGGTACGTACGAGTGTGTATGGTTCCCCAGTGGCAGACCAACCTGAAATGGGCACATGTACATGCTCAGGGTGTGGGTGACCGTGTTGGTGGTCACAAGGTGAGCCAAAACCCCAAGCCTAGGCTTGCTCTTTCTACACAGGAGCAAAGATGATCCTCCCACAACTATGGACACATCCTCAATTCGGCAATCCCCAAGTTCCTCCAGGAGAATGTGAGAGTCATTTTCCCTTGGTTGGTCCCCTGCTCCACCCCACTACCAGAATGAATCATTGGTCAGTGATCGACCAGGCCTGGGTTACTACCTGTCCCTAGAGCTGGCAGTGAGGTCTGCCCCACCCCACCACATAGACTAGGGTGAGGACGTGATCCCCCATGGAAAGTGGAGATCTATGGTCACAAAAAGGTCCATGGGTTGAACTTGCAGTAACAGTGGCATTCCTCACAAAGAATATATTATGTAAAGGACTTGGTATTTTTTTTTCTCAAAGCTCTGAGAGCCTAGTGCTGTATATGGTGAAGTGAGGTTCAGAGACTCCTCAACCAAGGCCACATAGATAGTAACTGGCAGCCAAGACTGATCCCACACAGACTGCCTCTCTGGCCATTTTGAGTTCTTCCCTTGCCTTAGCAAGTGTTTTGTTTTGTTACTTGAAACTTTTCATTTCAAAAATTGGTATTACCAACAAATCCCTTTGGAACAACAGTGGTCAGAGAGCATAGACGAGGATACAGATGGGAAGACGCCCTGACTGTACCCACAAACCAGACACAGCCAGAACTCCATCCACATATAGTTGGATGCCTTGATCATTTCTGGGCCCATTAGCAGATTTCAAACAAGAGCCTGGATCTTTGTCAAAGAGATGCTCTCCAGCTGTGGGACCCTCCTCCCAATGCATTATGGGCCAGAAGTGTCACACAGTCCCTTGCAACACACCCCAGGGATAGCCATTAAGCAACATCTGCCAGATGCTGGGAGTTGCATACCCAAGGACCCTTGCCCTTGGCCAGAAGAATTCTAAGATAGGCATTTACCTCATTTTCTAAGACTTCCCTGCAGAATTAAGCTTCACTCACCCACTGGGGTAGCTGGCTTAATAACAACCTCTCATTGGCTGCCTTCCCTCCCTGGGCCATCTTTCCATTCCCCTGCTGGTGTCCTTTCACCTCACATATAAATCACATGCTTCAATTTCATCTCAGCCCTGTGAGCTACCCCAGGTACCTGGATCCCACCTTTTCTTCTACCATGAGCATCTGGGCCAAATCCTTGTGTCTGTCCTCACTGGCATCTTCCCTTTTCCCTCAGTCCTGGTTCCTCCTATCAAGATTTCAATGCCTTCAGGTCTCCCCTGTCTTAACCTTCCATCTCCCTGGTCAGAATGCCCTGCCACTTTTCCCTTCAGAGTCCAAACTTCTCAAGAAAGGAATCTACTTGCTTATTCTACTTCCTTACTCTCATTTACTCCCCATACTGCCCTCCACTAAGTTGGCCTTCCACTCCCACCATTCCACTGGAACTGTGCTTATTAAATGTTATGGCTCTTGTCCTAATGTCCACCAAAGCTTCATGTGCTTATAGGTAGGGCTTTTCAGAGGTGGCTGGATCTAGAGTGTGTGATGCTGGGGTCAAGGGTGTGTGATTACTAAATTAGTCCACTGATTGGTTTTGCATAGTTCTGTGCTTGCACATAGTTCTGTGAATAATGGGAAGGCCCACCCTGGTTGTGAGAGCTACTTGCCCTAGCGACACGTAGCCTGGATAGAATATAAGGGACAGAAAGAGGGCTGCTGTCATCGCTTGCTGCTTCTTCAACTATAATTCACTGCTTTGATGCCTTCTGCTCATCGTGAACTGTTTTTCCTCTTTGATGCCCCTCTCCCATGACACCCTGCCTTGGAGCCAGCTGACTATAGACTGAAACCTCTACAAACTGTGAGCTACAATAAACCTTTCCTCCTTTAACTTTGGGTGTTAGGTATTTTGGTCTCAGCGACAAGATAGTAACCAAGACATCAAGTTTCTGGTTACCTTCTTTTCAAACCCAAGGAACACCTTTTGGGTCACATTTTCCCTTCCTGACATGGCTGACACTGCCCTCCTTCAAGGACATTCTCTCCCCTTTGTTTCTGTATGGTTACTCTTTTGGTTTTACTGGCTTCTTAGACTTCTGCTCCTCATTCTTCACTATAGCTTTCTTTTCCTGCCCAGGCCCTTAGTGCTAGTGCTCCTCAAGTTGGCCTAGAACCCTTCTGTCTCCCTGTTTTGTTTATACTGTTCCTCCACAGGCCAATATCCATCATACAACCTCTTTTACCAGCTCTCAGTTAGTGGGATTCCTAGTCTGTCTTCAGCTGTGGCTTTCTCAGAGCTCAGCTCTGCACTGTGGCTGTCCTACAAGCCCTTCCTATTCCCAGGCTCTTACAGTGGATGTCTTCCATTGACCTGGCTCCTCAAGGTAGAACCTCAGAAGGGGCAGCAGAATCCCCTCTCTCTTTGCGTTTTACCCCTAAATAGACACTGAGTCTTGCCCTTCCTCTTCATCCCAACAGATGCTTTTGTGTTTCAGTTGTTATCATCCTCACCTGAACAACTGAGGCCAGAGCCTCCTCATATATGTGCTGGCTTTACCCAAAACACTCTCCTCTGCCCCAGTGTTTCTTGCCATTTTCCATTTCTTGTGATCCTCCCCAAGCCTCAATTTCTTCACCTGTTTCATGAAGCCCAAAGTGTCATTTCTGAAGGGTGAAAAGGAATGAAATGAGGAATGAGGAATGGGGAATATAATTGGTAAACTCTGAAGCTACGTGCCACTGTGGGCAGTGAATGAAACATTTCAGGATCAGAGATTATGAGGAAGCAGCCTTGTAGTGTTGCTATCCGTGGTCCTGAACGTTGGTCCACCACCGATTTTTTTTTCCCCCCTTTGGGGTTGGGGAAAGACTGTGCTTCCGCTGATTTTTCACTTGCCATCTAGATCTTTAAAAGATTGTAAGGTCACAGTGAGTGATAGTTCACCGATAAGAGAGAAAACTAAAAACAATAATTAAGCATGAGGCCTGCAGGACTTAAATTTCATAAATTTGTAATCCCAGCTGCACTACCAACTAGCTGTGCAACTACGAACAAGTTACTTATCTATATCTGTTTTCTTATCTGAGAAAACGTGGGTGTGATACTAATGTTAATATTAACTTGTTCCTGAGTGATTGGAAATTGAAATTAGATGAAACCTGCAAACAAAATCTTAGCACGGTGTCTGTGCCTAATAAAAATTTTATTAACATTAGTTGTTACCATTTTTAGTAGGTGGCTCATAGTACAAGTGCGAATGGGTTTTATCACCTTCAGGACAATTACAGTTATTTTCTCTGGGAAATCTAAGAAAAAAAGGAACACTTCTCCACTGTGAAATCTGGAAGGAGTGGGCAGAGAGTTCTCGTGTCTTTGGCAATTCAGATTCAGCTGGAAGCCCCTGAACACCTACTTTAGATGTTCAGGTGATTCATGTTAGTCCTATTTTACAGATAAGGAAACCGAGGCTCAGAGAGGTGACATGATTTGCTGGAGGGAATCTACTAGGAGAAGACTTGCACAGACTGGAGGGCAGGCAGGCACCCTGCTTGTGAAGCCCAGCAGAGGCAGAATGGAAGGTGCCTCTCCCGCGGCACCACCGCTTGCGTCCCCGCCACTTGCCGGAGCGTGGGCAGCGGCGAGACAAAGGGCCGGGGGCGGGGCGGGGGGGTGCAGAGAAGGCCGGAAGTGCAGCCGAGGGGGAGGCGGGAAATTTCCTCGCTGAGGGAGCTTGGAGATCGCAACGACCTGGGTCCCCTCGCAGGCGCCGCACATTCTCGGACCAGTGGTCGCATCTCTCCGAGCAGCAACCCCCTCCTCGGGAAAACGAGAGAGCGTTTGCGGGGCTCTCCTGGTTGAGATCTGACACAGCGCGCCCGGCCCCTGGCAGGTGCACCGCAAACTGACAGCCTTCCCGCCCCTCAGTCTCCCGCTCAGTGAAACGGGAACCAGTTCAAGAAGGTCAGGGAATCCAGGAGCCCAGGGGCCGCAGGATCGGGCAGGATGAGGGGCGGCAGGTGAGGGGCGCCCCTCCCTCCCTCGGCTCTGGTGTCCCGCCGGCACCGCCCCCTCCCGGTTCCGAGGCTGCCAGCGCGCATGCCCGGGGCGGGGCACGGGGCGGGAGCGCGGAGCGGGCTCGGGGGACAGCGGCTCGGAGTCCGCTGGTCCGCCGGCCAGCCCGGCCCTAGCAGCCGAGGCCGCTCGGGTGGCGGCAGCAGGAGCCAGAGCGCGGCGACGACGAGCCAGAGCAGCTGCACCGCCGGGTAAGCCCCCGCCCTCACCTGCGGCTCCTGGCGGGCGACGGCCTCGGCCGCCCCTGTGTGAGGGAGCCCGCTCCGCAGCCGCTGTCCGGGGTCCTGAAATCCCCCTGCGCCTGCTCGCACCGCGCGGCCGTTGCCCAGGTGTGTGTTGCGCGCGGTGGGGGGCTGTGAGTGTCCCTTTCCAAGCTCCTCGCTAGGGCTGGGCGGGGCGGGGCGGGGGCGGGTCCCGCAGCTGGGCCGAACCCCCTAGGGGCCCTGGAGGCCAAGCCGCCCTGCACATAGGACGGGGCCCCGCGTCCGGCCTCACGGTGGTTGGATGCTTTGTTTCGCACAGCAGTGCAGAGGGGGCGCTTCCCGCCACCGGGGGGGGAGGGGGTCCGCCCGCGTTGATTCATCTCCTTTCTGGAACGGGCTCGGTGCTCCAGTGGCTCTATGTACACCACTGAGCACACTCGCGGTTGCACACCCAGTGTGGCACACACTCTGGGACGCGGTCACACACTCATCGCATTCACACACAGGCGCCTTATCCCCAAGCGAGGCCAACAGGTCTTAAATACACACACACACACACACACACACACACACACACACACACACACACACACACACACACAGTACAGCCCTTGGTCATTCCATCAGAGTCAGAAGCATGACCACCTGTGTACCCACACAGTGCGCCAGGTGGGAGACGTCCATACACAGCCAGACACAGCCACGCACTCACACCAGGCGTTGTGGAGCACAGCATACTAACAATGGTTCCTGATCAAATACTCTTGCAGCCACTCTTGCAGCCTATTCTGACCTGTTTGTTCCTGTTCACACTGCTTATGGTATCCCTCGTGTGCCCCTAAACCCTGGAATAGGCTATCACACTTGTGAAAACATTCCCTAGCACACGCGCGTGTGCAGGCACACACACACACACACACATGCTGTCTCTCACCCCCACCCACACTAGCCCGAGGTTACATTCCATTCCTTCCCTCCTATGGGTAGATGGATGGATGAACAGATGGGCGGTGGTCTAGGGCAGTGGTGACGAACCTATGGCATGCTTGCCATAGTGAGCTGTTTGTATCATTGAAATCACAAAAAGGTTTGCCGTCACTGGTCTAGGGGCTGCTTCTGTGGGAGGTCTGTGACCCTTTGCTACATTGCTTCTCTCCCTACAGCCCCAGGCAGAAGACTGCTCCTTTGAAGGCCCTAGGAGAGGAGGGGACAAGGGGCAGTAGACTGAGATTTTCACACACACCACAGACACACACGTCTGCCAAAACCTCGCAAGCCTTTATCCGTCTTGTTACCATGGGAAGAGATACTTGCAGGTGTTTGGTAGCTCTGGCCCTGGATTGAGAGTGTACGGGTGGCTCTAGACCGAGAAGAAATCCTAGAGAAAAAGAAACAGGCTAGCTGAGTCTCCATGCATTCGCAGGGGCTGCTCTGCCTGCAAGTGGGGCCCACATGCCTGCACACATGCCCAGGCCACCTCTCCCATGAGTGGGACTGCAAGACCATTTGGTCACACATGTGTACATTCACAGAGTCCAAGTGACTCCCTTGAGGTGCAGACACATACACAGGCCATTCTGCACATAGAAGAGACATATACATCAAGCTTTTCTTGCGCAGAAAACTCAGAAGCCAGATCCTGGCCCCAGACTGGCCTAAGGTGGTGCAGACCTCCACAAGTAGTCTGCTCACTTCCTTGCACATCAAGTGAACCACCCCATATACTTTGGGTTATTTCAATCTTCTACTTCAGTTAGGTCACACGCACCTAATTGTATGCAGGCTCACTTGGTCATAGGATGTGTGTGTTCCTGCAGGTGGATGTATATGTATGTAGGGACACTTGCTTCCCCTACTGCATGCTCCCTGGCTCTGTTGCCTCTGAGGTCCATGAGATTCAGAGGAGCACTGGCCTGACCTCAAGGAACAGAAAGAGCCAAAGTGTCCAAGATCCTGGCTGCCATCACTGGGAAGAAACAGGACTTTGGGCTCAGACACATCTGACTTTGAATCACAACCCTTCCTCCTCCCAGCTGCATGTCCTTTGTCAAGTCTTTTCTTCTCCTGACTTCAGTGTCCTCATCTGTGGAATGGGATGATAATGCCTCCCTCATGCCATTATTGTGGAATCCAGATGACAAAATGAGCCTGAGCATGGTGGGCCCAGAGCTGAGCACACAGAAGGAAAGTGATGTAATTAGGCTCTGGAAGGAGGATTGGAAGAGAAGAGGTGAACCCAGAGGCCCAGGCTGTGTCTTAGAGTAGTGGCTAGAAGGTACTGAGGTTTCATTTTGAGCCAGAAAGGGCCTGGTAGAACTGTAAGGAGCAGCACCTCTGGCACTGTCCTTGGGCTGATAGCCCTCATTTCACAGATTGGTCTAGGAAGGTATGAAGAAAATCACTGAAAGTCACAAACAAATAACTAAGCTGGGACTTAACCCCACGTCCTTTTACCTCCTGGATCAGGTTCTGTGACCCTACCCTGGACCTGATCGCCTCTTAGTGGCTAAGAACTTCAAACTAGGAACTTGGAAGCCAGCCTCCTCCAGGGAGGTTTGCAAAGGGGAAACATGACCAGCTGGGCCATGCCTGCCTCTCAGAACCTCAGTTTCCTCCTCTGGAAAATAGGAATATAATACTTGCATAGAAGATATACAATGTATTTGCAAGGACACCTCCTGCCTTTCCTGGCATCTACATCAAGGGTCAAAACATAGGGGGCAGTAGACCAGGAGAGTAGCATACATGAGGGCCTAGATTGTGCAGATGCGGTGATTTGTTGTTGTTCTTTGAGACAGGGTACCACTTTGTAGTTTAGGCTGGCTTTGAACTTACTGTGTAGCACAGGCTGGCTCTGAACTCACAGTGGGCCTTCTGCTCAACCTCCTAAATGCTGGAGTCACAGGTGTGTGCTACCACACCTGGCTGCAAATGAAATGATTGATGGCAACAGGCAGCCTCAGGACCATCCCTAGGAAGGAGTGATGGCTATGGCTGATTGGAGAGTCTGTGCTCATCTAAGGAGCCCTTCGAGGCTCCCGCTGACTGTTGCTATGCAGGAAGTATGCTCACATTGCCACATTTTAGTTTCCCAGATTTGTGTGAAATCTGATTCTCTCACAAAATCTTCTAATTTTTAAGTATTGATAAGTACATGCCTTTATTTTAAATGGACTTTTAAAACATTATTTTAGCACTCTGGGTCAAACAGGCATTCTGAAGGCCAGATTGTGCTAATTTGAGTGTCTGCTGCAGGCCCTCTCCCCGTGCCCCCTCCTGGGAGCACAGCTGGGCTCTGACAGGCTGAGGAGATAAACACAGGCTTTGCATGTACACAGCCCAGCCCAACAGTGAGCAGAGCCGTGCACACCCCTTTAATTCTCACAGCAGCCCTGGGGGAGCACAGGGTAGGCTCTTCAGGGTCCCCAGTGAAAGGCAGGGCCTTGCTTGAGGTCACAGAGCTGGTAAGTGGTAAACTGTCTAGACTTTGTGCCGAGGCCTCCCTCTGAAGGGAAGAGTTTGTTGGGTGGGCTCGTGTGCGGGGGCCTCTGAGTTCGGCCACCAGGGCTGGAATGAGAGGTAGTAAGCACCAAGAACACCTCTCTGTGGCTTAAGCTCCCTATCCTGTCGGGTTCCTACTTTCCGGAGAAGGGAACAAGGCAAGCATGTCAAGCGGATCTCAGCCCTCAGCAGAAACGGGCCCCGTCTCTTGCCCATCTGCCCAGTCACACTGGCTTCCAATAGGCGTTTCCATAGATCACAGGTCGCAAGCCAGTGGCCTCAGGTCAAAGTTGGCCTACAGGAGTGTTTTGTTTGCCCTGCATGTTATTTTAAAACCGAGCTAACTGTTATACCAGCACATTGAGAGGTTGAGGCAGGAAGATTGCAGGTTCAAGCCTAGATTGGATGACCAAGCAACTTCGTGTGACCCTGTGTCAAAATAAATCTTTAAAAGGAGGGAGGCTGATTATGTAGCTCATTGTGAAGGTATAGGGTTCAGTCTCCAATACCACACACACACACACACACACACACACACACACGCATGCACATGCATGCACAGTAATATTTAAAACATGAAAAAGGGTGAGGGGTATAGCTCAGTGGCACAAACACCTGCCTGGCAAGCACAAGGTCCCAAGTTTGACTGCCAATACAAAAAAAAAGAATATATATATATATATGGCTTTGCTCAATAAATCAGGATACGTAGCCAAGAGGAGCTATCCACTCCCCTGTTCCACACACTCCAGGAGCTTCCCAGGCTCCTTAGGATAAGCCCCCATTCTCCTAAGCCTGCAGCCTACTTTACTCCCTTCCTCCCTCTCCCTCTCCCAGCTCTCCTCCAGCCACTCTGGCCTTTTCATGGTTGGTTCAGGTGCTAACTTCCACAGAGAGGTCTTTCTTGACCACATGTCCAAACCAGCTGTCAACTCCTGCAAACACAGCATCCAGTGTTCGAAATTATATCGTTCCTTTGCTCCTGTTTTTACACTCTTTCCAATCTTTCTGCACGTGGAGGTCAGAGGCCATACGTTCCTTACTACTGTATCCCCGACACCAAAAACAGTGCCTAGAACATTGCTTATGTGCTTAATAAATGTTGAGTGAATGGGGGAATTCCTGTTTGGCCACCACTGGCAGGAATTTGTGCAGTTACCCCTTTCAGAGGGATGAATGCTCTCCAGGCTGTCACAGTCCCCACCACTCCCTCTTGTCTTCCTTATTCTGAGGATGTCAGGAGTCTTCAATCACCTCCCTTGATCTATTGTTCTTCTTATGGGAGGAAAAATATTTATTCCTTCTCAAGTCACTATCACAAGGCAAAAGATCATCTACACCACTCCAATCTGATGCCTTTCTGACTCCTGCAGACTGATGACCTTCCAACTCCTCTTTTTTATGCTGATGAAAATTAGATCCAAAGAATTCCAGCCAAAATCTGTCTTGTGCTTCAGACCTGTCTCCCACCTGATTCCTGCATGCCCTCAATAAATCCCACAGACTAAATAAATAAATAAATAAATAAATAAATAAATAAATCCCACAGACACCCCAGTTGAACTCCAAAAAACCACCCAGTACCTGACCCATCCTCTCAAAACTGCTCCTGTGCCTCCATCTTGTGATGATTCCCGTTCCCCTCCCCAGGTCTCAGGTTCAGAGTCCAGAGGACTCTGCAGTGAACAGTATTAATGGAGCTCCCACTCAGGAACTCAAGGTGTAGTTGGGGACCCAGAGGTGTAAATGGGTTGTGCAGAGTGATGTGATTCAGAGTAGGCAAAGAACAAGAGGCCATGGGAACACAGGCAGCTGATAGGCAAAGAAGACTCACTAGAGGAGGAGGCGTTTACCCTGAGACCTGAAGGTTTAACAAGCAGTAGCCAGGCGAGGAGGGAGGGAAAGACTACTCCAGCAGAGGCTGAGGTAGCCATCAAATTCGTGGACAAACCCAAAGAGGTGTCTCCATGGTGTGTGTGTGTGTGTGTGTGTGTGTGTGTACATTCTTTGAGGGTAGACATAGGTAGGTATGAAGGATAAATCCCAGCAGGCAAATAGGGAGATAAGGTTTTAGAAGTACATTAAAGAGATGGACTAAAGGTGATAGAGAATCATTAAGAGTTTCTATTTTTTCCTGCTTTAAAAAAAAAAGTACAGTTATGCACCCATAGTAACAACATTTTGGTCACTGATAAGATTGGCATACACAGTGGTGGTCCCATAAGAATATAATGAAGCCTTTGTAATATCTTATCATAACACATTATGTGTTTGTGGTGATGCTTGTATAAATAAATGTACGTGTTGCCAGTTGTATAAAAGTATATCACAGGGCTGGGTGTGATGGCACACGCCTGGCTTACTCTGTAGCCCAGGCTAGCCTTAAACTTGCAGTGATCTTCCTGCCTCAGCCTCCCTAGTGCTGGGATTAAAGGCATGTGCCACCATGGCTGGCCCTACACTGTTACTGATCCAGACCATCCATGTGTTTGTTTCTAAGTCCATTCTATGCTGTTCCTACAATGACAAAATCATCAATAAGACATTCCTCAGGACATATCTCAATTGTCAAGCAAGGCATGACTCTACTTTGAGCATGTATAACCCAAATTCAGACATCACAAAGGGGCATCCAAAGAAAGTCTCTCCTACCCTCAGATCCCTAGCCTTACTTCCAAGACACAGTGAGCACTAAGAGTTTTGTGGGATTTCATGTGGAAATTGTCTCCTCATGAATAAACCCATCAGTAATGTGTCTGATCTTCTGCTTGGCTGAACGCATGGGACCCTAGAAGCTATGCTGAACCCTACATGTCTTTTTTCATTCAGTTTATCTTGAGCATCTTCACATTTTAGCAGCTAGGTGCTGTTCTGGGTGATTGGCCGCAGCTCACAGGCCCTGCTCCCTGGTTTTCTTCTTGTTACCAGCCACGCATTTGTGCCCCCCGGATGCATTATCATTCTATCATCAGGACTATACCTAAAAGTGAGCTTGCCGGCTCAAATGCTGTGTGTATTATAAACATTGATAGAAAATCATAAATGTCCTTCCAAAAATATTGCAACCAACTTAATCTCCTAACAGGAATGCAGAGAGTCTTGAGCCAGGAGAAATATGGTTGGATCGACATCTTAGAAAGATTATTCAGTCATTTGCATAATGAATATTTATTCAGAGCTTATTTACTGTGTCATTATTCTTGACTCTGGGGAACATATCAGTGAGCACAAGAATGTCTTCATCCTCCTGGAGCTGGCGTTCTAAGGAGAGAAACAAAGCATAAACAGTGAACATATATATATGTAATGTCGGATGGTGACCAGGACTATAGAGAAAAACTCAGTGGGACAAGCGGGCAGGGTTGGGGTGGAGGCTGTTTTATATGGGATGGGACAGGAAAGGACCCAGGGAATGGACTAGCCAGATACTGCAGTCCATGCTCCTGTCCAGCACATGTCCCAGCAGTCGAGGCACAGGAAACATACAGTATAAAGTCCCTGAGGCAGAGGGTATCTAAGGTCAGTGTGGCAGCCACCAGTAGGGGGCTGAGGCAGCACCATGGAAAAGATAGAGCAGTCGGAGAAAGGAGCGGAAGAGGTGATGGGGCCAAGAAAATGCAGGGTCTGGTGAGTTGCTGAGAATTCACCCATCCTTTGTGTGAGACAGGAAGACAGTGCATGGTTCTGGACAGGCCACGATCTGCCTTGGGTTTTCCCAAGACCCCTCTGGAAGCTGTTTAAGAATAACCTGGATGAGCCAGGCATGGTGGCACATGCCTGTAATCCCATCATTCCGGAGGCTGAGGCAGGAGGATCGTTGCAAGTTCAAGGCCAGCCTGGGCTACAAAGTGAGCTCAAGACCAGCCTGAACTGCAGAGAACCTGTCTCAAAAAGACAAAAACAAAACAAAACAAAAGAATAACCTGGATGGGGTGAAGGAAAAAAGCCAAGGTAAGCCAGATAAGTGGGAGCAGAGGTGAGCCCAGGATAGTGGCCAGAATCAAAGGTAGATCCATTATATTTTGCTGATGGATAGGACATGGGATATGAGAAAAAGTCAAGAGTGACCCTTGGGATTCTGACCTGAGCACTAGGAAGGTGACTTTGGAGCAGGTTTGGGGGGAATCAGGAGCTCTACTCACTTGCTCACTGTGGCTGCTTAGTGTGTAATAGAATGGAGACGCTTGTAGATTCACCGCGAACGGCCCATCTGGAATGGACCAAGCCCCAGACCTCCCACCCAACACCATCTCCCAGCAATCCCACCCTAGCCAGTATCCTGCAGGCCACCTTCACCATCAGCAACTACCGCCATTGGTTCTTGATTTTCTCTGGGACTTTTTTTTTTTTTTTTTTTTTTTTTTTTTTTTTGGTCTTTTTGAGACAGGGTGTCACTATGCAGCTCAGGATGGCCTTGAGATCACTTTGTAGCCAGGCTGGTCTCAAACTCGCAATGATCCTCCTGCCTCACCCTCCCAAGTACTGCCCTGGGACTCTTGATTCTGCTCCTATACCTATCATCTCCAGGACCTTTGCTGCACTACCTTCACCTAGACTATTGCAACTGCTCGAGGTCTGCTGCAGAGAGGGGCTGTATAAATGAATGAGGGATTGCTTGAATGAAAGATTGAATGAACTATTCACCTGCCTCCTCACAGGTCTTGGCCAGCCCCTGCCCTCCTTCTGCCCAGCCTCCACATCATCCTAGAGGAATCTTTGCAAACACACACATCTGACTATGTCATTTTCTTAACTATAAACCATTCATAGCTCTCCAGGGCTTACCCAGACATAAACTGGTGGCCTACAGACATATTTTCTTTGGCCCACATAGTGTTTTGGGTTTTTTATTTAAATCTTGAATTAATTAGCATATTTTATATTAAAGTCTGGATTTCCCACTTAAGGTACTAGAAGAGCTAGGACTATTAGGTCTCATTTCTCCAGAGCAGCACCTGGCTCATGGAGTCCAGGTCCCAATGAGACAGGGCGTGCATGCTGCAATTTGACAGTGCACACGATTCTCTGTTGCTTTATATCCAACCTGCTTCCCTCACTTAAATCCCTATGATCTAGTCCCTATGGCCTCAGAGTTTGCAGCCTTGTCCTAGAGGCACATGCATAACTTCAGGGTAGCATATTGTATGGGGTAGGTTGCCAAGGATGGGGAGACAGTAGGTGAATGTGAAAGGTCAGGCTGTGGGCAATTGTGAAGTGCTTTGAATGCCCTCCTATCCAGAGGGCTACTGGGCACAATGAAGCAGGGGGCTGATGTGGTTACATTCATGTTCTTAGGCCAAGCTCTGTAGATAGGAGGAGACCAGACAGAGGCAGAGAACCCAGTGAGGAGGCTGGGCTGCTAGGCGAGGATGAGCAGGAAAAGGCCTGTGTGCAGGCTGCTCCCCACCGAATCACCCCTAAATCTGAGTCTGCTCTTGTTGTGTTTCAGAACCAGACAGCAGCCTTGGACTCAAGTATGGCCATGAGGACAAATGAGCAGTGCTGAAGACCCAGCCTGGCTCCAGCTGCATCAAAAGGCCTCCAGCACCTCAGAACCCTTCTGTGGCCCGCAGGATGGGAGCCTGGGTGCTGGCCCGGCCATGAGGGATGACTGCCCCTCCCAACAAAAGGCCAGCCCTGCACCCCTCAATCACATCCCTGACCAAAGCCCAGGCATGGACTCTAGACACAGTGACCCCAGTGGGGCTGGGAAAGGAGCCTCTTGCTCTGAGGGGCCTTCTGGGAGCTCGGTCTGCCCCTCTTCCATCTGCATCCCTCCCCAAGAGGCAGTCACCAAGGAGACACTAGGGGCACATGGAGCCTCAACCTCAGGGATCCCAGAAACCACCTTGCCTGGGAAACCAGACCCTGCATCCTCAGTGAAAACTGATCCCATGTCCTCAGAAGGCAGAAATCCCATGTTCTTGGAGAAGATGTATTCCAAGTCCTCACAGCAAGTCGATTCCACTTCCGCAGGCAAGGAAGATGCTAGGTCCTCAGTGAAGGCAGATCCCATGCTGACAGGAAAGACAGAGCCTGTGATCTCTGGAAAAGGGACTCCTGTGGCTCCTGGAAGGATAGATCCCATGACTCCAAGGAAGGGAGATCTTGGATCCTTAGGAAAAGTAGATCTGACATGCTCCAGCAAGGTGGACACAATGTCAACCATGAAGGAGGATCCTGGGTCTTTGAGAAAGACAGACCCTGTATCTTCAGACAATGTGGATCTTGCATCCCCCAGAAAGGAGGAGCCCAAGTGTTTTACAACAGAGCACGCTGTGTCCTCAGAAAAGGTGGGAAATACATCCAATGGAAAAGTAGATCTTTTGTACTTGGAAAAGAGACATTCTGGGCCTTCAGGGAAGGTGAATCCTGTTTCCTTGGAGAACACAGATTCTGTGTCCACAGAAAAGACAGATCCTGCACTCTTGGAGAAGCTGACTCCAGGGTCATCAGGAAAGACAGAGCCTGTGTCCTCTGGAACAGTGGCTCCTGAGTCCTTGGGAAAGGTGGATTCTACACACTTGGGGACAACAGATCTTGCATACATGGGCAGTGCAGAAACTGTGTCCTCTGTAAAAGAGGACCCTCAGTTCCTGGGAAAGATGGACCTCGCCTCCTCAGGAGAAGGACGTCCCATGACTATGGGAATGACAAAAACGGTGTCTGCTGGACAGGTGGATCCTGTGTTTTCAGGAAAGATGGATCCCACATCTGTGAAAAGTATAGACCCTGTGTCTTCAAGCAAGATGGATCCAGTCTCCTTGGGAAAAGCAGATCCCATGTCCTCAGGAAAGCCAGAGCCCTTGTCTGGCTCAACAGGACAGGCACAACACGTGTCTGCGGGGAAGACAGAAACTGTATGCCCAGGAAAAGAGGACCCAGTGTCCTCCAAAAGGGTGGATCCCCCAGTCGTGGAAAGCATAAAACCATCACCTTCTGGAAAACTGAACCCTGAGTCTTCAGGAAAGACGGACCCTGTGTCCTCAGGTCCAGGGGATCCCAGATCCCTCGGGTCTCAGGGTCCCGCATCAGCGGTAAAAGGTGAGAGGAAAGGAGATCCACAGTCCTCGGAGAAGGCAGGTCCCAAAGCCTCAGGAAAGACGGATCCCCCAGTCTCTGGCACAGCAGATCCCGCGGCCAGGGGAAAGGTAGAAACTGTCCCTTCTGGAGACATGGCCTCCGTGTCTTTAGGAAAGGTGGCCCCCACAGGCCCAGGAAAAACAGTCCTGGGGAAGGTGGATCCCATGAACCCCGGAAAGGTAGAAGCTGCCCCAGAGGAAAAGGTGGATCCTAAAGAGAAGGAGAATCTTGTGAACTCCACAAAGGTGGAAACCAAGGCCTTGGGGAGAGTGGAGCAGAAGGCTGGGGGCAAAGCAGAAACAAAGGTCTCTGGGCACGAGGGTGCCTCATCATCAGAAAAGGCAGAGGTATGGTCTCTACAGAAGGAGCAGCCACAGGCCTCTAAGAAGGTAGATCCTGCGCTCTTAGGAAAAGCAGAGCTCCTTGGATCTGGGAAGGTAGAGTCTGCGTCCCAGGGGAAGGCTGACTCCAAATCTCCGAGAAAAGCAGAGTCCCCGTCCTCCGGAAAGGGGGTCCTTCTGTCCCCGGAAAAGGCCATGCCCTCTTCCAGGCAATCAGATGGCAAACCCTGCGGCTCTGCCCTGTTTTCCGGGGCTGGCAGGAGCCGCGGTATGGAGCCACAGCCCGTCCCCAGCACAGAGGCCTCCAGCCTGGGCCAGAAAGAGCTGGCGGCCGCGGCCGAGACAGGCCCTCGAGCGGAGGCCGCAGCGCCCCCTCAGGGGCCACGGACTCGTGACAACTTCACCAAGGCGCCATCGTGGGACGCGAGCGCGCCGCCGCCACCGCGCGAAGACGCGGGGACACAGGCGGGCTCTCAGGCCTGCGTGTCGGTGGCCGTGAGCCCCATGTCTCCGCAGGACGGCGCGGGCGGCCCGGCCTTCAGCTTCCAGGCGGCACCGCGCGCGCCCAGCCCAGCGCCCAGGCCACCTTCGCGCCGGGACGCAGGCCTGCAGGTGTCGCTGGGCGCCGCCGAGACGCGCTCGGTGGCCACCGGGCCCATGACGCCACAGGCTGCTGCACCGCCCGCCGCGCCCCCTGCTTTCCCCGAAGTGCGGGTGCGGCCGGGTTCGGCGCTGGCTGCCGCCTTGGCGCCCCAGGAGGCGGCTGAGCCAGTGCGCGACGTGAGCTGGGACGAGAAGGGCATGACGTGGGAGGTGTACGGCGCCTCCATGGAAGTAGAAGTGTTGGGCATGGCCATCCAGAAGCATTTGGAGCGGCAGATCGAGGAGCATGGCCGCCAAGGGGCGCCTGCGCCTCTGCCCGCCACGCGCGCAGGCCCGGGTCGTGCTGGCTCCGTGCGCGCCGCGCCCCCAGACGGCGCGGCCAAACGCCCACCCGGCCTCTTCCGCGCGCTGCTGCAGAGCGTGCGCCGGCCGCGGTGCTGCTCGCGGGCGGGACCCACGGCCGAATGAGCTGCCCCCGTTTTGTATACCCGGGTCGCCGAGTATCTCAGGCTCCCTGTTGGATCCCAGGCCCCTAGAAGGGGTCCCCTCGGCGTGTGATAGTACTCCGAGGGGGTGGCAGCCTCGAGGGGCTCCTCATCCCCGTCTTTCCCACACAAATGAGCCCCTTCTGCCCAGCCCCTTGGTGGCCATGAGCTCATAAACCCAGCCCTGCCGCCCCCTTGTGCCCTCTCAGCCCTCAGCTACTCTCTCTCCTGGTCACACTGGGCGAGGCGGGGGCCTGCTAGGCACCCCTACTTCCCACCCCCGAGAGCTGAGGCAGGCTCCTGAGATGGTCAGCCTGGGACACTGAGGTCTCCAGGGGGCCTCACCCCAAGAGCTGGGAAAGACTGCATGCAAATCTGTGAGTGATCCTCCATGAGTGCAAGGACTCGTGTGCAAGGCCCCGAGTGTGCCGAGCTCGGAATGTGAGGCCCTGGCGGCCCCTGAGCTCCTGGACGTGAGCGTGAGTGCATCTCCACACAGTGCTACAGCCCCATGGGTGGGAGTCTCTTGCATGCTGTTGGTGGTCCTTCCCCAACTCCCCTCTCCCACCCACCTGGCCCTGTCCCCCAGCCCTATCTCCTCTCTGACACCTCCTTCCTGACAACCTTACCCCCCCACCCCCACACCCCTGGTTGGTTCACAATTCCCAGAGGGGGCAAAGGCCAAGAAGTGCCCTGGGGCCTCAGCTGAGAGGGACAGCACAGGAAGGACAGAGGATCTAAGACAGGAGTGGAGGTCACAGTGAGACTCACAGGTGACCTCTGGCCTCCGCAGCTTGGGTGATAGCTGGTCTTGGCTGTTGCAGACAGGATGGAGCGCTTATTCTGCAACCACAGTTGTCCTTTAAACACCACCCTCTTCAGCCCCTTGTCCCCCCATGTGCAAGTGAGCCCCCAAAAGTCCCTTGTGACCACTCAGTGCCCTTGTCCCCACCCCTCCAGCCTTGATTTTTTGGCTACAACTGTCACAGTATACATTGGTAATAAAATCTTTCCCCAACCCTTGTGTGCAGGTGATTGACTGGAAGCGGGAGGCAAAGCAGTGTCATATATTATTACACACAGAGAGGAGTGGGTGTGGTTAGAGAGGGGTGGGTGCAGTTTCTGGGGTGCCAGAAGAGCGGGGGCCTCCATCACAGGTCTGTGGTGTCCAGGCCAGCGTTGGTGAAGAATAAGCCCTCCTGCTGCTGTCCCCGCGGGCCTGCCTTTCTTCCTGACAGCACCACCTCCAGAGGCTCAGGCTCTGAATATGGTTCTGGTGCACTGCGAGGAGACTCCTTCTGAGGGGAACAGGGCGCAGATGATGGAACGGTCATCCAGGCCCTCGGGTGCCATTGGGCCTTCAAGCCCATGACCAGATGGCTCCACAGCTGGGATCCCTTCTTGCTCCTCTTGGGACCTCAGTCTCCTGCAGCTGTGTCCCAGAGGTGGCCATGGCCAGGGGTGGCGCTGACAGGCTCAGGTGAAGCGGTAGGCCTGGGGGTCATCTCTGGCCTTTGTCTACCCATCCCACAGACAGAGCAGCACCCTGGTGCTCTGCCCAGTCCTGAGCAACATCCAGCCCTATGTCCTGTGCCGCGGAGCGAGTCCATCTCAGTCTGTGCCACCTGCACCCCTGGCAGGCACCGTGTGGAAGGTGGGAGGTTGTGTGGAAGCATACTCAGAGGACTCTTCTGCCAGGGAGGGGCAGAGCATGTTTGGATCACTAGTCTTGCAGATCTAATGCCTGACCATGGCACAGAGCTGCCCCTGGTTGAATGTGGCATCTCCGTCTGCTGCCCCAGAAGGACATGTCACATCCAGGGGCCCCTATCCGTTCATCATGGCACACACTTCCATGTTTCTCTGTCCTTTCTCTCCCCTATTTCCATGTGATGTGCCACATACATATGGCAGTCACACACACACCGTCCCGGGGGAGGCCAGCCCCCCCAGGATGAGCTACTGTGCTGCAGACACCCACAGGGCCAGGCCCCCGGACACCACCACCCTCCCCAAAGTACTCCAAGGGCTTTTTTCCAGACTTCGGCTGTTCCAGTCCCTGGTAAACAGTGGAACATCTGAGGGGCCCCAGAGGGGCTAAGTATTCTGCCTGTGTTCCACAGCCCTTGCCACTGGTCCCAAGCAGGGAGCAGAGCCACCCAGGGTAATGCGACCTGGTCCCCCAAACCATAGACTTGAGGTCTGGCCTGCTCCTGCCTGCAAACTGTCTGAGCAAAACAACACCCCTCTCTGGGCAGAATTCACTGATCTGTCCAGAGATGAGCCATGCCCAGAGGTTGCCCGGGTTGGCACTCATGACCCACATCCCTGGAGGCCCATTTGGAGACCTCCCTGCCAGATCTCTGTGAGACACCTGGAGCCCTGTGCATTCTGGTGTTTTAAAGCCCAAGAGAGGATTTGGTTGACTGAAATATTTCCAGGCAAGGAGATCTCACAGGAAAATAAAGACTAAAACATGAGGCCAGCTGGAGCTGCAGGGCAGGGGGTGAGGGGATGGGCACCAGTCACGTTTGGGACACAGAGGGGGCTGGGTAAGGAAAAGTGGTGGCTGGATGCCTCTGCCCCTCGACAGAACCTCACTTACTGCCTGTCCTTCTGCCACCCTTAGAGCTTCCACGCCAGTGGGAGGAGAGGTGGCCATTCCTTCTGTTTCTGGAGCTGTCTCCCAGCCCACTGACCAACTGCAGGGGTTCTCAACCCTGCCTGGACCTCAGAAGCTCCTGAGGATCTCTGACCATGCATCTGTGCTGTGGCTCTACTTTGGGCTACCAGAAACAGGACCTCTCGATGTGACCTGAGCACTGGTATTTTTAAAGAGTTCCCCAGGCGCTTCTAAACAGCAGCCCGGCTGTACATTCTTTAACTCACCTAACTAACCTAGTTAACAAACGATGGTAGTGTTTATTAAGTACCTTCTCTCCTTTGCTAGACTATGTGCATTCATCTCCAGATCTCTCCTCCTGGTCCACCAGCTTTTATATAAAGGCCAGAAAGGGACAGAACCAGACTTCTGAGCACCTGCTTTGCACCAAGTGCTTTTAGGCCTGTTCTTTAATCCTCAGCCTGCCCTGCAAGGTTAATGCTCTGGTCCCCATGTGCAGATGAGAAAACTGAGAGTGGGACACAAGAAGTCGCCCACTAAGGTCACGTGATGAATGAGGGGAGAAGCAGGGATTGGACCACACTCCAAAGGCATGGGGGCATCCTGAGGCCTTGTGCACCGAGGTGGGGCTGCCCACGTCAGCAGCGGGTTCCTTCTCACTCGGTCCTTTGTTCCATTCTTTTGGAAAAGGATTCCAAGCCGGAAGTTCATCCCCCCGTCTTACCTTGGTTTCCAGACTGTCCATGTCCAGGTCCACAGAGTTGTCATCCAGGGAGTTGAGGCTATGGGGAAGTGGTAGAGCCAGCGTCACTGGGAGGCCCAGTCCTCCCTACCTGTGGGCCCCACTGCCTCCACCCCTACTGCACCATCCCTACTGTCACTACTTCCCTGACCTGCCACCGCTGTCACACAGCCATCATCACCATCACTCCTGGGAGGGGCAGGTACCTCACCTGACATAGTCCAAGTCACTGGAGGAGGCAAGGAAGTCCAAGCTCAGGTCCTTGGTGGGGAGGTTCAGCATGGGATTGGCCCTGGAGAGAAAGCTGGGTCAAGTGGCTGTGGTCCTCAGTCCCCTCCCCCAGCCTCTTGGCCACCTCTGACCCCTGCTCACCGCTCGGTGTTGTACATGTTAGTCCCAGGCATGGCAGGGGCTGAAGGCACCATCCCTGCCGCAGTCTTCTGAGCCTCCTTGCTAGCCTTCATAGCCCGGAGCTTCCGCTGGTAGCTGTGGGGAACCAAGAGAAGCTGCACTTTCACTGAACACCCACTGATTGCTTGGTGGAGGCCTTGACAGTGTGGCTTCACAACCATCCCGGCAGGTGAGCGTGTAAGTTCCACTTTACAGAAGGAACAGCCAGGGAAGGGAAGCGATTTGCCAAAGGCCATGCAGGCAGTCGGTGGCAAAGCCTGGACTCAAACCCAGGTGCAACTGCTGACTGTGCGTCCCAGAAAAGGAAAGCAGCAGCATCTATAAATGCACAGCCTGTGCAGGCATCATGCTGGGTGTGAGAAGCACATGACCACCCTGAATACATCAAGGAATCTAGTGTTGTGCCCATTCTGCAGATGAGGAAACTGAGGCTCAGGGAGGGCAGGGACTCGCCCAAAATCTCACAAAAGGTCACTGATAATGGAACACACATATATCTCATGCCTAAACCCAAGCTTTTTCTACCCCTACCCCTGCATGTCTCAGGAGGAGGAAGGGGGAAGGCTGGAGACATGGGTGATGGGAGCAGTACCTCTTCCGCACACACACAAAGGCCATAATTGCAACCACAAGGACCAGCAGCAAAGCCACCGCCAATCCTATGACAGCACTGGTGAGCAGTTTATGCTGTTCCGACTCCTGGCCCTCCTGGGAGCCCTGGGGGAGAAGGAGTGTGAGGGTGGCTGGCCAAGGGGCCCACCCTCCCCTCCCCACACCTGCACCTTCCACTCACCAGCACCACCAGCCCCAGCTGCAGCAGCTGTGTGAGTGCTCCCTGGTCTCCCTGGATCATCCTGGCCGCAGAACCCTGGTCAGACTCAAGGCTTGCTGCATCCGGGCACCCGGGCTTCCTGCCCACCCTCCTCCCAGCCCCGAGGACAGCCCCACTCACACACTCAGCTCGTTCAGCGTCAGGGCCGTCCCGTTGGAGAAGACAAAGTAGGCGTCAATGTAGGAGTGGGCTTGGGCCCTGGAACAGGGTAGGGGAAGAGTCAGCAGCCTCCCCTGCCGCTGTGTCTCTCCTCCACCGTCCGCTGTGGCGGGGGCATGTACCTGGCTGAGGAGTCCATGTCCTGAATGGTCACGATGTAGATGGAAGTCTTGGTCGCCTGGGTCAGGGCCCTACAAAAGGGGCAGGTGTCACAGGCGCCTAGACACAGCCTGTGGCCTGTGCCCTGCCCGTGCAATCAGGAGCTGTGTGAATGAGAAAGGAGCACAGCAGCTCTGATGGCTAAGTGGGCAGCACCTTTGTGCAAATTAGAAAAAGAAACCCTTTCCTTTGGGCTGGGTCTGCAGCTTAGCAAGCAGTGTGCTTGTGCAGTATACAGCCTTAGGAACTGTCTGTGACAGCTGTATTTAGGCCTCATTCTGACTTTGGCTGAACACAGGCTTCTAGGTGCATGCAGAATGGTAGTGTGGGTACAGGGTCAAAAAGAAGTAGAAGGTCAAGGGTGGGTCAGGGTTGAGACATATTCCATCCCGTCCTTGTCAGGGACCAGCCTCCTGTCCTTCCCCCAACCCCTTCTGCCCTCCCCAGACCTACTCCTTAATGGCCTCCAGATTGGCGCCCACCTCCTCCTTGTAGGTGGAGAACTGCAGCCTCACGCGGTAACTCTGGGCCACTGTGAAGAGCTGGGGAGGAAAGTGAGGGGAGATGAGGCACTAGAGACCCCGCGGCTGGCAGAGGGCACCGGGGCCAGAGGTGGGGTCTGCTACTCACATTCAGGGGCACTGTGGCCTCCAGCACAGGACCCACTGAAGGGCTGTCCTGGGCCTTGACCGTCACCTGATAAGTGCCTTGGAGGGTGGGATCGAGGTTGGTCACCAACCTGTGGAGCGTGGGAGCACATGCTCAATCTTGGAAGCCAGGACGGGGTCCTCGGGAACCCACTTTTACTCCTCCCAGGATGGGTGAGTTATTGCCTCGCACCCTCTTTTGGGCCCAGCCCTAGCCCTCCCCAGCCAGGGGCTGCCCGCAGTTACTCAATGCTGCCAATAAACAGGCCGGCCTCCGAGGACGTGACGACCCGGAAGTAGCCCTGGAAGGGGGCCGTAGTGGGGTGCTCAGAGATGAAATCCACTTGGAGGATGGAGAACACGATGACCCCGTTTTCCCCTGAGTCAGCATCTCTGGCCTGGGAGCAAGAGTGGATGACAGCAGGGCGTGGGGTCAGGCCAGGCCAGGCCAGGCCCTCCCCTCCAAGCTACGCTGTGCCCAGGAGGAGGGTCCGCACAACCTGCTCAGCCTTCTCCAGGGTCACCGTGTCACCAATGTGCTTGTAACAGAGTGAGTTTGCTCTGCAGACCTAGGCTTGAATGAGTCTCTGCCCCTGCACCCCAGCTTGGCCGATCATCACCCAAAGTCCTTCCCACGTAGCAGTCCTGCCTGGCCCCCTTCCCCAGCACTACATATGCACGCACGCACACACACGTGCATTCACAAGCACAGGAACACTCAGATTTGCTAAGCACCTACTGTGCACTTCTCCTTTTAGACCCCTCATTTCAGGGCTTACTAATGTCAATATGAAGTCATGAAGTTCCCTAGTAGGCTATGAGCTGAATGGAGGAGGGGCAAAATGTTCTTATTTATTCTAGTGGCTCTCAGGGAAAAACACAGCGACACACACAGCCCTGTGTCCGCTGACATCACTGATCAAGATGAACAGGTGCTGGTCAAGTTTCCAGGTTTTTCTTTTTCTTTTTGGCACCAGGAATCAAACTCAGGACCTTGTGCTTGCCAGGCAGTTGCTTGTACCACTGAGCTATATCCTCAGCCCCAAGTTTCCAGTTAAAGAGAAGTCTTCAAAGCCACAGCCACCCTCATGACATCAGAGTGCAGCTGGCCCAAGATTGGGCGACCGACTCTTTTAAGGCTTGAAAGGACCCAAAGAGGGAGAATTTCTACCTCCATTTTATGAGAGGAAGCTGAGGCCCCACAAGGAACACCTCATCTTGCTGGGCATGGTGGTGCCACCATGCCTGTAATCCCAGCACTTGGGAGGCTGAGGCAGGAGGATCACCATGAGTTTGAGGTGAGCTGGGACTCCACAGTGAACTCAAGCCCAGCCTGAACTACATACATAGCAAGACTCTGTCTTAGAAAAGAAACAGAAAGAAAGAAAGAGAGAGGGAGACCTTGTCTTATGGGCTCTCATCTGGCCATCTCTGGTCTATACCTGTGTTCTCCTATGTACACCCATGTCCTTTCCACAGCACTGCAGGCAGCACCCAGATTCTGCCTTCCAGAACCACCAGCTGCTTCTCAGAGAGAGAAACTGAGTCCCAGAGAGGCTCATCCAGGCCCAACCCCAGGGCCCTGGGTGGGGCCTCCCCCCAACAGCACAGGCACTCCCTGCTACTGAACACACCCCTACCCAGCACCATAACAAACTGGAAGCATTTTTATAATATTGCTTTGGAAATTATTTAACTAGAAAGAAAGCATTTAATATAAAATAGGCTCTGGTTTCTCTATTTATCATACTCAAGAATTCTGGTGTAGTCAGAGAATCTAGCCTGCAAAGTGGTATTTATGGTCATGAAAATTTTATGAATACTAAATGGAACAATTAGTGCAATCTGATCTGATCAGTTAGGCAGGTGTTTACTTCTGTCTTGGGGTTTGTGTTTTCCTAGGTAAGAGCGCATCCTTTCTAGTGTTGATTCACTTGGGGGCGGCGTAAAGGCTGAGGGCCTTAGCTCTGTGTCCCCTGAGGTGACTGTGGCCAGCAAAGGCTGGAGCCAGGACTCACCTGAACAGACGCCACCTGCTGGTTGGGCAGCACAAGTTCCGGGATGATCACTACAAGGAAAGGCTAGTGAAGCTGGGCAGTGCCCCCCTGGCCTGCTCTGCCCACAAGCCCAACTCAGGCTCCAGCCCCCAAACCTGCTGCCAATGTCTCTGCTGAAAGAGACTCCCATGACAGTTACACTTGAGCCAGTAGCTAGCAAGTCATCTACCTCCTATTGTACAGATGGAGAGACTGAGGCCCAGTAGAGGGAGGGGCTGGCTCAGGCCCAGTCCCTGATGGAACAGAGCAGGAATGGAAAACTCAGGTGTCCCCTCCACTTGCAACCCTCAGAGGAAGTAGAAGTAGAGCCCATCATCCCTTTCTAAGGGCCCCCTGGGCCTAAGGTGGGTCTGTGAGGGGTGCCCAGGGATGGTCTTTGTGGCACGGGGAGGTGTATGTGGCAGCGTGAAGACTGGGTGGCCACTTACCAAAAGTCTTACTTTCCGGCAGAAAATAGGGTGCGTTGTCATTCACATCCTCAATGGTGATGGGGAGGTTTCCTGAGGAAATCAGGTCGGCTGACTCAAGGTTCTTGGCCAAGGCCTGACCCAAAGAGCCTGGGCCTTAGCCACACTCCCTATAGCCTCTCTCTGAGGCATCACCCCCTCAGCACCCTCCCAGCTCCTGACCCAGGACCCCCACAAAGTCTTCTCTGGTCTAAGTGGGTGAGAGCATCATTCTTAGAACTCAGAGAGGGTTAAACAGCTTGCCAAAGTCACACAGCAAGAGTGGTGAGCCCAGCCAGCCTAGGTATATCATCCCACCTAACCAGCGTGTGTGTGTGTGTGTGTGTGTGTGTGTGTGTGCGTGTGTGTAGCTTAGTGGTCGAGCACTTGCCTAACATGAGTAAGGCCCTAGGATTGATCTCCAGTTCCAGCACAGGGCTTGGGAGGAAGCTATGTGTCAGCCATAGTTCTTGGCTCTTATAAAGACTCAATATATGCTAGCTGTTAATATGGTTATTATTGCTACTTGGTGTCAGAAGTGGGGTATAAATACATGTTTTTCCTAGAAGTATGTTCTTTGCTTTACACTACCTCATAAAATAACAATATTAATCAGCCACTTACTGTACACCAGGCACTGAACTAAAAGCTTTGTGTACACGGTCTCACTTAACTTTCACATCGGACAGAAGGAGGACTTTGCTAGCGACACCGCTGGGAAGAGCTGAAGCCAGGAGTCAAAGCCACACCTATGGGTCCCAGCCCAGGGCTCCATCCACTCCCTGATCCCCATGCTGCAGCCCTGCCAGGCAGGCCACCTCACCATCTTTGCTGTAGGCCTGGAATCGGGGATCCGTGTTGAGGTCGTAGGCCTGCACTACGAGTGTTACCAGGTCACAGGCCTCGTAGTCAATGGCCTCACTCTGACTGATGTACACAGAGCCATTGGCTGCCACCGAGAACCAGTCTTGACACACGCTGCCCGCGTCAGCGCTGGCCTTGGTACAGATGACGTTCACCAGCTGTATCTCCAGCTGGGCCCCCGTGTCCACATCCTGGGCAACCACCACAGCCACCTCTCCGTGCTGTGAGCCATTCTCAGCCACAGAGATGCCCTGCAGCGAGGCTTCGACCAGGGTGGGTGGCTCATCATTCACATCCACCACAGTCACGTTGACTCCTGCAGTGGCCTCACGCCCCTGGGTGCCTGGGTTCTCTGCGCTCACCTCCAGCTGGAAGGAGTCCTGGACCTCATAGTCCAGGCTTATGTCCGAGGGCAGCGAGAGCCGGCCCTCAGCCCTCCCAAACCCCAGCACCACACCTCGGAGCATGAAGTTGTTGGCACCAGCCCCCGACAGGCTGAAGCTGATGCGGTTGTTGGCTTCCGTCTGGTCTGCATCCCAGGCTTCCACTACGCCCACCAGCACTCCTGGGGACAAGGGACAGAGCTTGGAGAGCCTCTGGCCAGGCCATTGGAAGCCTCCTCTGCCCTAAAGTCTAGGGTATCCAGGCCTGCCCTCTCAGTGTAGCTGCTAATACAGTTGTTATTGCTACTTGTTTATCAAAGGTGAGATAAAAATAACACATCTGGAGTGGGGTGCAATGGTGCATACTCTAATCCCAGCACTCTGGGAGGCTGAGGCAGGAGAATGGCAAGTTCAAACTCAGTCTGGGCACCTTAGTAACTTATCAAGACTCTCAAAAAAAAATTTTTTTAAGGGGCTTGGGTATGTAGCTCAGTGTGGAGGCCCTCAGCACTATAAACAAACAAACACATACACACACACACACACGCGCGTACACACACACACACACACACTGGCTCCAAAGTATGCATTTTCCCTTACACTCATAAAATAACAGCATTAATCAGCTGCTTACTATATTTTTTATTTTTATTTTATGTTTCAGTACCAGGAATTGAACTCAGGACCCTGCACTTGCCAGGCGCCTGTGCCACTGAGCTATATCCCCGGTCCCTCAGGTACTTACTATATACCCAGCACTTCACGAAACACTTTGCACGCATGCTCTCATTTAATCTGGACAGTCACCCAGCGCCCAGTTCTAGGCTTGAGTGCCCAGAGAGGGCTTACCTGCATCCCTCTCCTTCACGAAGAATTGGTAGGTGGACTGGGTGAAGACAGGCAGGTTGTCATTGATGTCCTGCAGGTAGAGGCAGATCTGAGCCCCAGGTCCCCGAACAGCCCTGAAGGTTCACCCTACCCAGAGCTGATCTGAGAAGCCAGTGATTCCTCTGCCACAGACAGAAGCAGGGACCCTCTGGGTCTCCTCAGACTGCACTGCCTGCTTCGAGAGGTGGAAACAGCCTTTGAGAGGAAGGAGCCTGCCCTGGTCGCCTCCCTGGGGCTGGGAGGCAGGTGGCAGACTCCCACCATTGTTTATCCATAGTCAGGAAGCTCCGCCCCCTTTTTGTTTCTCTGACCACAGCTTAGAACTGTCTTACACCTTGCTTTCCAGAAACGCTGGTCCAGGTGCCCAGCCACGTGCCTGTCTGGGTCAGCTCGACTTCCGTCTCTCAGACTGACTGTGCTGGCACCAGTTCCCGGCTCCGAGGTTCCCACTTTCCTCCTTCATCTCCTCCCTCCCATATCTCCTGCACTCGTGTGACTCTGCGCCCAGGCAGAGCCAGGGCTTACCCTGGTCCTGCCCTCTGACGCCAGCTGCTCTCTGCTCTTGCCTCCCTCTCCAGACCTGGCTGGAGCCCTCACTATTGTTGTCACAGTGTGGAGCTGATGCCACATGGTCCCTAATACTGGCATGTGTGTGAGTGTGTGTGTGTGTGTGTGTGTGTGTGTGGAGTGTTCCTAACACTGGCGTGTGTGTGTGTGTGTGTGTGTGTGTGTGTGTGT